CCAGGTTGGACTGGGTACTGTTGGGTCGGGACAACGTACGTGGAGCGACCCTGCAAGAGGAAAGAAAATAAGTCAGTTATGTCCCCTGCAAAACACAGACATATCCCCAAAACACTGATGTAACCCCAAACCTGACTGTGAACAAGTTGTGCACCAGGGCAGTGAGTAGGACACAGGCAGAGTAGACACCAGGTGCCTCAGAGAACTGTTGGGGAGGGGACCAGTACTGCCTGCTGTGTCTCTACAGAGCCAGCAGCACCCTGCTCAAAACAGTGGGTGTTCAGAGTCTCAGGACCCCCTCCACCCCGCCAGAACAGACCTGGGCTCCAAGCCCAGGCAAAGCCTCCCACCAGGGCCCATCCCAACCCCCTCCCAGAGAGCCCAAAGCATAGCCCTCACCTGTCCGGGAATGTAATAGGCTCCTTGGGAAGGTGTGTAGGATATCTGGGAGGGTATCATCATCACCTGGGAAGCAGCTGGATACACATGGGCAGGAGGGCCAGGCCGAGCCGTCGTGTTACTCTGCACACGGGACGCACTGGCAGGAGGCTGTGCCCTGTTCTGGTAGAAATGCTTGGGGAGAGATGGGGCACAGCGTCAGCAGGAGCTCCAGCACCTTCATCTGCCACCACCGCACTCGAGGGGAGACACCAGCCCCCCCACGCTGCCGGCATGCAGCACCGCCTCGGCAGCCCGCAAGGCCACCCCCCGCCCCGGCACCATCCTGTCCCCACGCACCTGCGGGGCCGCCTGGGTCCACCCGACCCAGCTCATGCCCGGCGCGGCCCCGGCCCAGCCCTCCCGGGGCCGGCAGCTCCAGCGCCCGGGGCCGGCCACGGCCGCACGCAGCTCGGCGGCGGCGGGTCCCGGCGTGCTCTGCACCGGCTCCAGGCGCTCGCGGTGGATGCTGGGACCTGTAGTCCCGCCATGCCGGAGCCGGACAACATGTGGAGCTCCGCATTCCCACCCCGGCCAATGCCGCTCATCCCGACCCAGCTTTTCTGCCGGGCAAGAGCATCCCCGGGAGCAGCAGCTCCAGCCCAGCAATGAGCGGGCAAGGAAGGGTCCGCGCACGCACCCCCGGGGCAAGGAGAAAGCGTTACCTGAAGAGACCTGAATCCTCCCTGTTAGCAAGCGCACGCATACAGAGGGAAAGGGGGAAAGAGAGAGACAGGAGTTACTGGCACTGGGACAGGGATAGCAGAGGAACGGACAAAAAGTCAGGGAGCCCTTTGCTCTGTGCCCACATCCCAAATATACTGAGATCCCTTCTAGGGACCTTCCAAGGGGCAGGGATGGGTCTGATGAGCTCCCAGACAGCACATCCAAGGATGTCACCAGATCTGTCCCCAACAGCTCCTCCACACAAGAGGGCTGATGGAACCCAGAGCCTTGCACGCCACTGCAGGGCCTTGGGAGACCAAGCAAAGCAGGGAAGAAGAGGAAAAGGCAGAAGGGCACAGGCAGAAGCAACAGCCTGGGCTGGAGTTAGCACAGGCACAGCCACATGCTGCAGGCTTCATGCAAGGAGGGAATTGGGGAGACACTGCAGAGAAACCTACCCAAAGTCGAGCAGGCATCCTGCACTTTCCCCAGAGTCCAGGGTCCCCACATGCTCCCCAGCCCCTTCATGCCCAAGGTGGGTGTTTCTGTGCAGTGTCGGGGAAGGGTGTTCAGCATGCAGGGCAGGGGAAGCGGGTTAGTACCTGCTGGTGAATAGCCCGAGGCCCTGCTGGAAACTGAGAGAGGAGGAAAGGGAGGTTTGGGGCAGGGGAGGAAGGAGAGAAGAGCAGTCACTCTGTGGGCATCCTCATTGGAGGCGCCTGCCCTCCCACCCCAGGGCCAGGAGGTACTCAGGTGGCAGTCGTGGTCCAGATCGTGGGCTCATTCCCCCTTCACAGGCACACACCAGGCCCGAGGGGCACCACATTGCTCCTAACACCCCTGGGTTCCGTGGCAGTGTGGGCTACTCGGCCAGGAAGCAGAAAGCCGCTGGATACCCCTTACCACCCTCTGCAGCTCTGGACAAAATCCTTACCTGGCGCGGCTGAGAAGGCGTATTCATTTGTGAGGTCGGTGCCGGGTTAAAAACCACAGGTGCCGTCTGACCAGGTGGGAATGTCGGCTGGAAGAAGGCAGGGAGGGAAAGAGATGGTACCACTGCCCTTGGCACCAACAGGGGAGGCAAAGCTGTGTCCCCCAGCCCTGCAGGGGAAGTTACCTGCGGCAGTCCGGGAGAAGGGGCAGGGTGCGGGGCAGTCGGGGCTCCTCCTGTGGGCTGTGGAGCTTTGTTCATTTCATGGGGTTGTGCATAAGGATCCCCTCGCTATCTGCAGGAACAGGGACAGTGGGCATAAGCTGGAGATGGCAACATCCCTGGCATCTGTCTCCTGTCCATGTCAGCACTAAAATCTGCAAATCTGCAGCCCCACAGCCTACCATTGTAAAGCCAGGCATCAGCCGTGCCCCACAGACAGCATCCCACCAAGGCACGGACCCCCAGCCACCTCCTCCTGCCCCACTGGGCCATGGGGAAGATGGGGTAGGTACTGCCAAGTCACCCAGCCTGGGCAGGTCCTCACACCCTTCAGAGCAGACCCCTCATCATGCCCCAAACCCAGCCATGCCCACCAGCAACACTGACCCACCCAAGGTGACCCCACAAAGCCTGTCTGGGCCCTACACAAAACTGGGCACCAGCGCCCATAATCTGCCACCAGTACCTAGGCCACCACTAACTCCGGGGGGCTGGGTGGGCCGGCGGCACCCCGGCGTCAGCCGTGCCCAGCTCCACCCCGGCTGACCTACTAAGCGCTTCCCCCGGCCGGCAAAACCTGTTCCTGCCGGTGGCGCCGGGTCCCCAGCGTACACCACAAACGCCTACCAGGGAAGGCAGGGAGCAGCTCCCTCGTCCCCCCGCGCCACCGACACTCCTGCCCACTGCCCTGCCCAGGGGAGTCTGCAGCCCCCCGCCGCCGCCAGCACCCAGGCAGCCCGGACACCTTCCCGGCTGTCCCAGGAAGGACTTGGCAGCCAGTGCCGCTCTCCCCGCCCCAGTGCAAAGGCCGCCGGGGCAGGAAGGAGAGGCAGTACCCCGCACACTGCCGGGGCTCCCCTGCACCCCACGGCACCCAGCGAGCCCGCTGCCGGCCAGACACCCAAGGGAGCAGCCCTGGTGCCTCCTGTAATCTGACGCCTGGACGCGTCAGCACTGCCGGCCCCCAGCCCCGCTGCGGGCACTGCCAGACACGTCCCACCAACACTGGGAAATGGGGCACCCCAATCCCCCCACGGCTGCGCCTTGGTGTGGGGGTGCCACCCCATCACAGGGATCCCCCGAGCCACCACCCCAGTGGAGATGGGCCCTGCCAGGGTTTCAGGAGGTGGCAGGGGCTGGGTTGCACTCCCCAGTGCTTCCCTCGGGCCCCTTCTCACCGGGGACCCCAGCACCCAGCACCGACAGCCCGTACCTGAGCCAGCTTAGCTAGGCCTTGAGAACAATCACCCCTAAACAGAGGGGGAGGATTGTCTCACAGGGGACAGGGACACCCGGGGACAGCCAGACCTGGTCTCCTCCGCCAGATACAACCGGGAGCGAGTAGGATACTCACCCCCCCGCGGGAAAAACCTGGGCCGGCTGAGCGGGCCTGCAGAGACCGTTCATCCGACTGACTGGGAGAGAGGAGGGAGGGGGAGAGAGAGAGAAAGAGATCAGGCCAGGCCCCGCGGGGGGAGCCCGGCCTGGCCCCGGCTTCACACTGGCCCGGGTAGCCCAGCAGGGCCGGGGAATGCGGGTTCCGTCCGGGGGGACAACGGGGCCCCGCGCGGCTGTTTGTAATCGGAGTCGCGGCCGCTTCTCTGCGCCGGGAGCGGCCGGGCCGCGGCCTGTGCCGGGCCCGCCGACGGGGCGGGGGGTCCCTGCCCGGGGGGGCTCCGGAAAGGCCCAGCTCGGTCCGAGTGAGGGGCCGGGGAACGGGAGCAGCAGTTCGGGGAGGCGGGAACGTACGGGGGAGTGGGGGACAAGACAAGAATCACCGACGGCGGAGCTGGGACAGGCCGCGGCCGTGGCCCGAGAGCGGCCGGCCCCGCCAGGCCCAAGCGCGGCCTCGCCCCCAGGCCGAGGCGGCGGCCAAACCGGCGGCTGCGGCCGGCTCCGTCCCGGGGCGGCGGCACCACCATCACGGCGGCGGGAGGGCGCGGTGCGGTGCCCGGTGCGGCATCCGGCGGCCCCGCTCCCCCCCGCGGCGGCGGCGGCCTCTGCCAAGGACACGTGTCACTGCCGGCCGCAACCGCGGCCCCGCGGGCACCGGCGGCGGCACGAGAGGCCGGTCGCGGCGGGGCGGGGGCGGCATTGCTCGCAACACATGCGGCGGCGGCGCCGGGCCTAGGCGGGCGCGGCGCCGGGAGCACGTGTGCGGCGGTGGCGGCGGCGGCGGGGCGCACCGGCCGGCACGTGGGCGCGGACGGACGCCGCCGCCGCAGGATCACCGGGACGTGGGGACCATCGGGACGACCGGGGGGCCCGGCGCAGCAGCGGAGCGAAGCACGGGACAGGGCGTGGGAAGGGGGTGGCGGCGGCGGGGAGGCACCCACGTGGTGGCGGCGGCGGCGGCGGCGCGACAAGGCCCAGCGAAGCGAAGCCCGGGGAAGGGGGAGGAATAGGGCGGCACGCGCGGCCCCGGTACCGGCGCCCCCCCACCCCCCCCCGCGGGGCGCGCGCCCGCCCCGCCCCCGCCCGTTACCTTCAGTCTCCTTCAGCGCGCGCGGCCCGACGCAGCCGCAGCGCAGCGCAGCACGACCATTTCCGGAGCCGCGCCGCGCGCAGGGGGCGGGGCCGCGGGGCCGCGCGCCCGCCGCCGCCGCGGGGGAGGGGCGCACGGGGGCGGGGCCGCCACGCCCGGAGCCGCGCCGGGCCCCGCCCCCGCCCCCGCCCGTTGCGCCGCCGCCGCGCCCCGCCCCGCCGCCGCGGTCACGTGACGGGGCGGGGCGAGGCCCGGGCGGCCCGGAGGGGACCGGGGGCTGCATAGCTACGCCCCATCCCCGCGGCCACGCCCGCCGTCCCGTCCCGCCGCCTCGCACCCCGTGCAGGGTAACGAGGGGAGTGGGCGCACCTGGCACCGGCACCGGTCGGGACGCATACTCACCCGGGGCCTGACACCAACCGCGTCCCACAGCCACCTAGGGACCGGCACCAGCGACACCCGCACCCATTCGGTGCTTGGCACCACCGGGACCCAGCCTCGCTCAGAACTTGACATTGGCCCGGCGGGCACCCACCCGTGCTCCATCCAACCTTGGCCACATCCGTGAGGTACCCTCGTGCACCAGCACCTTCCCGGGACATGCACCCACCCAGGGTCTGCTCTGACGTGGGACTTGCACCCATCCAGCACCCATCCCTCTCCCGGGCAGGAGCTGCACCTGCCCAGACCCCTCCCCAGCACCTCACACCCACAAGGGACATGGTCCCCACCCTGCACCCCGCAGGATGCAGCACCTTACCCCGACCCTGCATCCACCCCACTCCCTTTGTTACTCAGCACCCCACTCCCACCCAGACACAGCCTCCCCTGTCTATCCAGCTGGGACACAGCAGGATTCAGACACTGTCAGTTTTGGAAACAGGGCCGGGCTTTCCTCTTCGCTGAAAATACTTTCCATGTGGGTTCTGTCCCCACCTCCCTGACTGCTTTTAACCCCACTGTCAGCTCTGGAGCAGCACCAAATGATGGCAGAGCCCAGCAGATGTGGCAGGGTAGCTGAAAGTTGGGAGCTGCCAGCCAAGACCCCCCAGGAGGGCAGACCCAGCTGGGGACAGGCCACGCTGGGCTCAGGGGGAGTTGCCCACTCTGAGCCCGTGGCAGTGCCGGGCACACACACAGGGAGGGCACAGCTGGATGCTGCAGCCACGGAGCACCCACGGCACCCCACAACTCTGCGTCCATGCCCTGCATGTTGGGATCTGCGCTGTGCACAGCCTCCGTGGGCCACAGGCACACCGGCAAATCCAAGGGCGGCGACGAGGAGAGCCCCAAATCCTGGGATTTCCGTGTGGAATTTTAGGGATAAAACGTGCACTTTTTTTGGGATTTAGTGTGTATTTGAGGGACTCCAGGTGGAATTTCAGGAATTCCTTGTGGATTTCAGGGAATTCCACTCCTTGGGAACAACACAGGTGGGGAAACCCCTCCCAAAACAAACCCTGGAAAATTAAAATTTAACAGGAAAATTCAGGGACAAAAAATTCCGGGAAATTTTGGGAAGCCTTGCCCCACCCCCTCTGGATCCGCTGGAATTCCCAGAGGGATGTGGGACGTTCCCAATCCCATTTCATTCCCGTTTCCATTCCAGGTTTACCTCAAGGCTCACGCCGACCACGAGGAGGAGCCGGTGACACAACTCAGGAGCGAAGTCTGGCACATCCAGGAAGTGAGATTCCCAGAATTCCACAAAATTCCCTGAAAATTCTGCAAAATTCCCACAAATTCCTGTAAAATTCCCTGATTTTCTCACAAAAGTCCCTGAGTTTACATGAAGTTCCCAAAAAATCCTCCCAAAATTCTCCAAATCTCACCCCAAATTCTCCCCAAAACTCCCAAAAAATTCCCCTCAAAATTTCCCCAAAATGACCCTGAAAGTTCCACAGATTCCACCCAAATTCACTCAAAATTCCACAAAAATGTCTCCAAATTCCCCTGAAATTCCCACAAAATTCCTCCAAATTTTCCCTGAATTATCCCAAAATTCCCCAAAAGTTCCCCAGATTTCCAATTTTTATTTTCATTTATTTTCCTTTCATTGGATTTTAGCCCATTTTTACTTGGACTGTTTAACCTTTTCCCCCCCTCCCAATTCCCTGAAAATTCCCACATCCCAAGAAAACCCCAACTTTTCCCTTTTTTTTTTTTCCAGGCTGGGAGTGCCCTCAAAAAACTCCATGAAGATTTGAGCACCAAACTCCAGACCCAGACGGAATTTCTGGAATTCTGGGATTTTCGGGAATTCCAGGAGAGCTCTGAGGTAAAAAATTAGGGAATTACTGAACAAAAAAAAAGTGGAATTTTCCCCTGGAGAAACCATTCCAGAGGGATTTTGGGTGGAAAAAAGGGGATAATCCAAATTTTTCCGGTGGGAAAAGGGGAAATTCCCATTTTTTTCAGGGAAAGAGGGAGGAATTCCCATTTTTGGGGTGGTGAAAGGGAAAATTTCCAATTTTTGGTAGGGAAAACAGGAAAATACTGGTTTTGGGTGAAAAATGTGAAATTTGGGATTTTCTGGAGGGATTTCACAGCTCCCAGGGATGATCCTGGAATTTTGGAGTTGCTATTTTGTCAAAATTCCCAAATTTTGCTCCAAATTGGGAAGTAGGAGCAGGTCCTGGAAATAAAAAAAAAAGGGGGGGAAATGGGGATAAATCCATAGAAATTTAGGAATAAATGGATTTAAATTGGGAATACATCAATTGAAATTTGGGAAAAGGGACTTGGGGAATTAGAAAAATTTGGGATAAATCCCAATTTTCCCCCTTTTTTCCCCAGATTCCAGGTGGTGCTGGAGAAGCGGAACCAGAGCTGCTCCTGCCAGGGAAATTCCCAGGATAATCCGGTAGGGAACAGAAAAAAATTCTGGAATTTTCCAGGACAGGATTTGGGTCGGGGTGAAAACATTTAAGAAATCCGTTTTCCACCCAAAAACAGGGAATAGTTGCGGTTAATTTGGGAATATTTGGTGTTTTCCACCAAATTTTGAGTCCTGAAATTCCAAGTTTTAATTGGGATTTGGGAGGTTCGGTTTTTAGCCAAAAATCCCAAATTTTGTGAATTTTTGAGCTCTTGGAAAATTAAAAATTTGGGATTCTTGACCTCTGGGAAAACTCAAAAACGTGGGAATTTTTGACATCTTGGAAACACCAAGTTTGGGGAATTTTTGAGCTCTTGGAAAACACAAAATTTGGGAGTTTTGGGATGTATGGGGGACACTGGGGCCTTTTGGGGCCGTTCCCGCAGGAGGACCCCAAGGCCCTGCGGCTCCTGTGGAGGCTCCAGGAGGCGGAAAAGTGGCACCAGCTGGAGCGGAGCAGCCTCGAGGTGAGCCTGGAATTCCCAAAAACCCGGAATTTCACCCAAATTCAGCAATCTTGGAGGAAAATTTTTCCCAAATTCTGGAATTTTAGGGGCTGGGAATGTCGGGATCAGGGTTGGGCTCCTTGTGGGGGTGGCTGGGGAACTGGGAATGGGGGAAAAGCAGGAAAAAGGTGAGAAAAGCAGGAAAAAGGGAGGAAAAGGTGGTGAAAAGGATGGGAGGGAATTAGGATCTAGAAAGTCCCACAAGACCAAAAAAAAAAAAGCTGGAAAAAACCCCAAATTCCCAACCTGAGCCTGACCATTTCTGCCAAGATTTGGGAAATTCCTGGGAAATTCCCAATCCAACAGTGATATTGAGGATTTTGAGATGGAAAATTCCCCCAATCCTCATTTTTCCTGGGACAAACCTTCCCAAATAACTCAGGAGCTCCCCAGTCACATTCCTACGCTCCAAATTACCCCAAATCCCAGAAATTCCCATTCCGGGCACAGACGGACCATTCCAAGGCAGCTCTCCAGGGTTGGAAAATCCTTTCCAGATCCCAATTTTTTCTTTTTTTTTTTTTCCCCAGAATCTGGAGATGCATGACCAGATTGAGCACCTGATCGAGAAACAAGTGAGAGCCGGGGTGGGAGCAGCACCCGCGCGCGCTCCAAGTCAGAATACGTCAGCAGGTGCAGCGGGAATTCAGGGATCAGGGTCAGGAATTCTGGGATCTGGGTTGGGAATGGTGGGACTCAGGTTGGGAACTCCAGGATCTCTTCTGGATTTGGGGATTCTCCTTGCATTAGGCAATGAACTTTTGGATTTGGGGCTGCAGCTTTGGAAGTGCCGTCTGGATTTTGGGGATTTTCTTCTGGATTTTGGGGATTCTCTTTGGGATTTAGGGACCAACTTTTGGAATTTTGTGATGCTCTTCCAGATTCGGGTATAATTGAAATCTCCCATAATTTTTCCATGTCTGCAGCAGATCCCAAATCCCTCCCACAGGAATTTTTAGGAATCCCGATCTCCCCAAAACCCTTTTCCCTGTTTTTTCCGGTTTTTTCCTACTGAAAATTCCTTTTTTTTTTTCCCCCCTTTTCCCAGCAAACGCGTCCCATGCCCGAAGCCACTGCCCCTGATCCGAGTGGTGGAAACCTGAATTTTGGGGTCTGGGCCCAGCCGGATCCTTCCCCTTCGGAATGACCGGAATTTCCAGCTGAACTCAGAGCCCTTCCCGAGGGAAGAGGTTTGTGATCACCCCGGGCACGATTCCAGGTCAGAATCGGGAATTTTTCCCCTTTTCCCAGTGATTTTCTGGCTCTTGCCATTCCCGTGTGGATTCCAGAGGTTTTTCCCAACTGGATTCCGGATTTCACCTTTTTTTTGGGGGAATTTCCAAATCAAAATCTTGGATTCTGCTTTTTTCCTGAAGGAAGATTCCAAAAATCTGGGAGCCACCACATCGTCGACCTCCAACACCACCCTTGGACTTGGAAAATGCTCTCCCAACCCTAAAAATTCCATGTCTTTCCTGCTGAATCCTGTTTTTCCCACGTAATTCCCTGCTTTTCCCGCAAAATTCCATGCTATCCCCCCAAATGATTATTGTTGAAATTCCCACAATTTTGGGATTTTATTCCCTGTATTTATTTCTGTAAATTATCGGAGTCTCCAGGTGAGGTGGGGCACAGGCCGGAATTCTTGGGAATTTTGGCCCAGGACTGCCCCAATCCCATGTTTGACCCCAGAGGCTCCAACCAGGATCCCTTGGGATTCCCTTGGAATTTTTAAATTCCTGGTTTTCGTATTAAAGATAAAAAATTCTGTCTGCTTTAAATCCCAGAAGTTGTGGTTGCTTGGAAAAGACTGGGAATTTTGGGGGGAAGGTGGGGGCTTTTTACTGGGTTTTTTGGCTTTTTTGATTTTTCCGTGTCCTGATTCCATGGGAAGGGTGAAACTTTGGGATTGGGATTTTCCCAGTTTTCAAAACCAGCGTGGGGTTCAGGTTGGGATTTTGGGGATTTTTCCAGGGCATTTCTTTTTGGCTTTTGGGGTTTTTGCGGGTCCTGATTCCATAGGAATGGGGTAACTTTGGGATTGAGATTAGGGTTTTCTGGGTTCCCAAAACCTGGGGCACTCGGGGTGGGATTTGAGAGGTCTCAGATTCACCTCCAGATCCCAAGAATTCCTCTTCAAAAGGTCTGGAGCCCCAGGATCCATGGATTTACAGGGAGTGGGGCCTGGGGACACCCAAGACTCTCAGGAATGACCAAGAGGGGACCCCCAGGACAACTGGGAATGGTCAAAGGATTACTGGAAATGACCAAGAGAGGAAAAGATGAAAAAAGGAGAGAGAAATGAAAATAAAAAGAAAAATACAGAAGAAAAAAAGAGAAAAAGAGAGGGGATAAATGAAAGAGAGAGAGAAAGAGAAAAAGAGAAAAAGAAAGGGAAAAAGACAGGAAAAATGAGAGAGATGAAAAATGAGGAAGTTACAGAAAAGAAAAAAAAAAGGAAAAAGAGGGAATTTTGGGGGTGATTTTAGGGAGGAATTGGGTGATTTTGGGAATTTCTTTGGGGATTTTTGGGTCCCCCTGGGCCCCCCAGGGATTCCAGGACCTTTAAGGGGATTTAGGGTGATTTTAGGGGATTTAGGGGTGATCTGGGGTGATTTGGGGCAGATTTTCAGGGGATTTTGGGTCATTTTTTAACCCACTTTTAACCCATTTTTATCCCTATTTTAACTCCTTTTACTCCCTATTTTTATCCCTACACATTTGCCCAATTTCCCCTTTTTATCCCTATTTTTACTCCTTTGAAACCATATTTTAACCCATTTTATCCCAAATTTTAACCCTTTAACCCCATTTTTATCCAAATCCCCAGCTGGGTTTGCTTTTTTCCCCCCCCGGCTGGGTTTTTTTTTTCCTCGGACCCAGTCAGTCTGCGAGGCGAGTTCATCACCAAAGTTTGGGTGCAGAGCGGCCAGGGACCGGGGTTTTCGTCAGGCAGGAGGATTTTTTTAGAGGCTCCGGGAACCACGTTCCCGAGGACCAATGATTGCTGGGGTGTAATTTAGCAGTTGTGATGGGAGGGATGGTGAGTTCGTGTGTAATCTGAAGGGGTTGTTAATGGTAGATGGGTGTTGTTTTCTGTGTGCTTTTGTTGTTTTGGGTTTCCTGTAACAATAAATCCACATGTAATGAAAATAGAAAAAGGTTATCATCTTGTGTTAATATGTGTTTTGTGTTGTATTGCTCTGTATTGCTCTGTATTGCAGGGTGAGCACAGGGTGAACTCTCCTCCTTGCTGTGACACCTGGGCTGGCAGGGATGACACAGTGACCTCGGCCAGCCCATGCTGCCTGTGCCATCACCTGGCACTGATGTGTTGGATGAAAACCCTTTTGCTGGGATTTTTGTCCTGAGAAGCCTCAGAACAGAAATGGAACCAATAACGATCTGCTGGCTGTGGAGTGTGGGCTGGAGGTGGTTAAGGCAACAGGGGCATCTTGGATTGGTCTCCTGTGCATTGTTTCTACTTGATGACCAATCATGGTCCAGCTGTGTCAGGGCTCTGAGCAGTCCCAGGTATTTATTATTCATTCCTTCCCATCTTTCTGATGTCTCCTTGCTCTTTTAGTATAGTTCTAATATCTCATTTTCTTTTAATATAATAGAGATCATAAAATAATATTTCAGCCTTGTGAAAGGTGGAGTCAAGATTCTTGTCTCTTCCCTTGTCCTGGGGACCCTCAAACACCACCACAATCAGCGGCCGAGTGGGTTTGTGCGAGCCTCTCAGTAACCCTGGGCCGGTCCCGAGTCGGCAGAGACCGGGGGGCAGCCCTGACACGGCCGAGAGCGGGGAGACCTCTCTGTGTGTGCCCCGAGGGTACTGAGGGCACCTGGGCTGGAGGGAGACACTCACTGTGTGTGCCCCGAGGGTACTGAGGGCACCTGGGCTGGAGGGAGACACTCACTGTGTGTGCCCCGAGGGTGCTGAGGGCACCTGGGCTGGGGGGAGACACTGTCTGTGTGTGCCCCGAGGGTGCTGAGGGCACCTGGGCTGGGGGGAGACACTGTCTGTGTGTGCCCCGAGGGTGCTGAGGGCACCTGGGCTGGGGGGGAGACACTCTCTGTGCCCCGAGGGTACTGAGGGCACCTGGGCTGGGGGGAGACACTCTCTGTGCCCCGAGGGTACTGAGGGCACCTGGGCTGGCAGGGAGACACTCTCTGTGCCCCGAGGGTGCTGAGGGCACCTGGGCTGGGGGGAGACACTCACTGTGTGTGCCCCGAGGGTGCTGAGGGCACCTGGGCTGGCAGGGAGACACTCACTGTGTGTGCCCCGAGGGTGCTGAGGGCATCTGGGCTGGCAGGGAGACACTGTCTGTGTGTGCCCCGAGGGTGCTGAGGGCACCTGGGCTGGGCACCTGTGCAGCACAAGAGACACCAGAGACATCGGTAGAAGATAAAGGGCCGACTCTTAGCAGGGGTTAATCCAAGGTTTTATTAGGATCCCAAAGGAGCTCCTGCACCTCAGGGGCCTCCTGCCGAGAGCCCCGGGAGATGTGCCAAGGTCACATTTAAAGGGAGGTGGAAACCGAAAGTAGATAACATCCTATCAACCATTAAGTGACTCTAAGGGATGGGTACTGGGCGATGGACATTTAGGACAGCGTATGGGGCAAGGCTTGGGGGGCTGACCCCTGGCCTCTGGCTGATCACTCGACGAACTGGACAGAAACTTCTGCATGGAGGGGATGGGATCTGAGTGATTGACAGAGAGCCAGGGTGGGCGTTTGGGGATGATCTCATCCCGGGAGAGGGATAACACAGGTAAAGGGAGGGGGGTACAGTTTGGGATAAACCATTTGGGAAAAATATGGGGATACAAAACAAAATTCCTTCAAAGTATTACAAAGTATAAAAATGCAATACAGCAGGGTTGGGCAGCACCAAATAAAATAAAATGCTTTAAAAATAGGAAAATTAAAAAAAAAAAAATTAAAAAACAAAATAAAAAGCTTTTTAAAAAGGAAAATTAAAAATAAAATCAAATAAAAAATAAAGTTAAAAAATAAAAAAAAAAGCTTTAAAAATAGAAAAATTAAAAAAAAATTAAAAAATAAAAAGCTTTAAAAAAAGAAAAATTAAAAATAAAAATCGAATAAAAAAATTTAAAATAATATAAAAAGCTTTAAAAATAGAAAAATTAAAAATAAAAATAAAAATCAAAAATTAAAATTAAAAAATAAAATAAAAAGCTTTAAAAATCGAAAAATTAAAAATAAAAATTGAATTAAAAAATTAAAAAATAAAATAAAAAGCTTTAAAAATAGAAAAAATTTTTAAAAATTAAAAAATAAAAAGCTTTAAAAAGAGAAAAATTAAAAATAAAATCAAATAAAAAATAAAATTAAAAAATAAAATAAAAAGCCTCAAAAATAGAAAAATTAAAAATAAAAATCAAAAAATTAAAAATAATATAAAAAGCTTTAAAAATAGAAAAATTAAAATAAAAATTAAATTAAAATTAAATTAAAAAACAAATTAAAAAGCTTTAAAGATAGAAAAATTTAAAATAAAAATTGAATAAAAAATAAAACTAAAAAAACAAAATAAAAAGCTTTAAAGATAGAAAAATTTAAAATAAAAATAAAATAAAAATCACATTAAAACATAAGCTTTAAAAATAGAAAAATTTAAAAAGTTAAATAAAAAAATTTAAAAAAATAAAAAGCTTAGAAATAGAAAAATTAAAAATAAAAACCAAATAAAAAAGAAAATTTAAAAAAACAAATTAAAAACCTTTAAAGATAGAAAAATTAAAAATAAAAATCGAATAAAAAATGAACTTAAAAAACAAAATAAAAAGCTTTAAAGATAGAAAAATTAAAAATAAATATCGAATAAAAAATAAAATTAAAAAAACAAAATAAAAAGGTTTAAAGAGAAAAAAATTAAAAATAAAAATAAAAAATTAAAGTTAAAAAATAAAATTAAAAGCTTTAAAAAAAAAAAAATTCAAAATAAAATTGAATAAAAAACAAAATTAAAAAATAAAAAGCCTCAAAAATAGAAAAATTAAAATTAAAATTCGAATAAAAATAAAATTAGAAAAACAAAATAAAAAGCTTAAAAAATTAAAAATAAAAATCGAATAAAAATATAAATAAAAATAATATAAAAAGCTTGAAAAATAGAAAAATTCAAAATAAAAATTGAATTAAAAAAATTTAAAATCTTTAAAAATAGGAAAAAATTAAAATAAAAATCGAATAAAAAATTAAAAATCATATAAAAAGCTTTAAAAATCGAAAAATTAAAAATAAAAATAAAAATCAAAAATTAAAATTAAAAAAAAAAATAAAAAGCTTTAGAAATCGAAAAATTTAAAAAAAAATTGAATAAAAAGATTAAAACATAAAATAAAAAGCCTCAAAAATAGAAAAATTAAAAATAAAAATCGAAAAAATACAATAAGAAGCGTTAAAGATAGAACAATTAAAATTAAAATTCGAATAAAAAATAAAATTAAAAAAACAAACTAAAAACCTTTAAAAATAGAAAACTTAAAAAAAAATCGAATAAAAAATAAAATTAAAAAAAACAAAATAAAAAGCTTTAAAAATAGAAAAATAAAAAATAAAAATCGCATAAAAAATAAAATTAAAAAACAAAATAAAAAGCTTAAAAAAATTTAAAATAAAAATCAATTAAAAAAAATAAAAAGCTTTAAAAATAGAAAAATTAAAAATAAAAATGAAATAAAAAATAAAATTAAAAATAATATCAAAAGCTTTAATAATCAAAAAATTAAAAATAAAAATCGAAATAAAAAAATTAAAATCTTTAAAAAAGGAAAAACTAAAAAAAAAAATCAAAAAATAAAATTAAAAAAACAAACTAAAAAGCTTTAAAAATAGAAAAATTAAAAATAAAAATAAAAAATAAAATTAAAAAATAAAATCAAAAGCCTCAAAAATAGAAAAATTAAATTTAAAATTCGAATAAAAAAAATTTAGAAAAACAAAATAAAAAGCTTAAAAAAAATTAAAAATAGAATAAAAATAAAATTAAAAATAAAATAAAAAGCTTTAAAAATAGAAAAATTTAAAAAAAATCAAATTAAAAAAATTTAAAAAACAAAATAAAAAAGCTTTAAAAATAGAAAACTTCAAAGTAAAAATCGAAAACAACAAAATAAAAAGTTTTAAAGATAGAAAAATTAAAATTAAAATTCGAAAGAAAAATAAAATTAGAAAATCAAAATAAAAAGTTTAAAAAAATTGAAAATAAAAATCTAAATAAAAAAATAAAAAGCTTTAAAAATAGAAAAATTAAAAATAAAAATCAAATTAAAAAATTAAAAAAATAAATAAAAAGCCTCAAAAATAGAAATATTAAAAATAAAAATCAAATTAAAAAATTAAAAAATGAAATAAAAAGCCTCAAAAATAGACAAATTAAAAATAAAAATAAAATAAAAAATAAAATTAAAAAAACAAAATAAAAAGCTTTAAATATAGAAAAATTAAGAATAAAATTTAAAAAAACAAAATTAAAAAATAAAATTAATTAAAAATAAATGAAAAACTCAATAAAAACCGTAAAGTGCTGTAATGTACCATAAAAGTTGCATAAAGCTAGTGCCGTAAAGCGCGACTGTCGTAAAAGGTGCCGTAAAGCGCGACTGTCGTAAAAGGTGCCGTAAAGCGCGACTGTCGTAAAAGGTGCAGTAAAGCGCGACTGTCGCAAAACTGCCGTAAAGCGCGACTGTCGTAAAAGGTGCCGTAAAGCGCGACTGTCGTAAAAGGTGCCGTAAAGCGCGACTGTCGTAAAACTGCCGTAAAGCATAACTGTCGTAAAAGGTGCCGTAAAGCGCGACTGTCGTAAAAGGTGCCGTAAAGCATAACTGTCGCAAAACTGCCGTAAAGCGCGACTGTCGTAAAAGGTGCCGTAAAGCGTAACTGTCGTAAAAGGTGCCGTAAAGCGCGACTGTCGTAAAAGGTGCCGTAAAGCGCGACTGTCGCAAAACTGCCGTAAAGCGCGACTGTCGTAAAAGGTGCCGTAAAGCGCGACTGTCGTAAAACTGCCGTAAAGCATAACTGTCGTAAAAGGTGCCGTAAAGCGCGACTGTCGTAAAAGGTGCAGTAAAGCATAACTGTCGTAAAAGGTGCCGTAAAGCGCGACTGTCGCAAAACTGCCGTAAAGCGCGACTGTCGTAAAACTGC